TAACCAGAGACATAAAAGACCTATACAATGAAAACTACAAGACAGTACTGCAAAAACCAAAACAGACATGCATTAGTGGGAAAACGTACCTTGCTCATGTATAGGAAGACTCAACACTGTGAAAATGTCAATTCTACCCAAAGCAATCTACAGATACAATGCAATCCTCATCTGAATCCCAATGGCGTTTTTTAATGAAATGGAGAAACAAATCACCAACTTCATATGGAAAGGGTTACTCAGGGAGAAGAACAAAGTGAGAGGTCTCACACTACCTGATTTCAGAAGCTATTATACTGCCATGGTAGTCAGAACAGCCTGGTACTGGTACAACAACAGATACATAGACCACAGGAACAGAATTGAGAATCCAGACATAAACTCATCCACCTATGAGCAGCTGATATTTGACAAAGGCCAAAGTCTGTTAAATGGGGAAAAGACAGTCTCTTTAACAAATGGTACTGGCATAACTGGATATCCATATGCAAAAAACTGAAACAAGACCCATACTTCACACTATGCACAAAAACTAACTCAAAATGGATCAAAGACCTAAATATAAAATTGAAAATGATAAAGATCATGGAAGAAAAAATACGGACAACACTAGGAGCCCTAATAAATGGCATGAACAGAATCCGAACCATAAGTAACAATGCACAAGCACCAGAAGAGAAAGTAGATAACTGGGAGCTCCTAAAAATCAAACACTTGTGCTCATCAAAAGACTTCATCGAAAGAGTCAAAAGACAACCTACAGACTGGGAAAGAATTTTGGCTATGACAAATCCAACCAGCATCTAATATCTAAAATCTACAAGATACTGCAAAGCCTCAACAACAAAAAGACTACCCAGTTAAAAAGTGGGCAAAGGATATGAACAGGCACTTTACCAAAGAAGACATTCAGGCGGCTAACAGACATATAGGGAAATGCTCACGATCATTAGCCATTAGAGAAATGCAAATCAAAAATACAATGAGATACCATCTCACCCCAACAAGGCTAGCATTAATCCAAAACAACACAAAATAATAAATGTTGGAGACATTGTGGAGAGACTGGAACACTTATACAGTGTTGGTGGGAATGTAAAATGGTAAAACCACTATGGAAATTGATTTGGGTCTTCCTTAAAAAGCTAGAAATAAAAGTACCATATGATTCAGCAATCTCTCTCCTTGGAGTATATCCTAGAGAAATAAGAGCCATCACACGAATAGACATATGCACACCCATGTTCATTGCAGCACTGTTCACAATAGCAAAAAGATGGAAACAACCTAGGTGCCCATCAATGGACGGATGGATAAACAAATTATGGTATATCCACACAATGAAATACTACACAATGATAAAGAAGAACGATGAAGCCGTGAAACATCCTATAACATGGAGGAAGCTGGAGGTCATTATGCTGGGTGAATTTAGTCAGTCACAGAAGGACAAATATTGTATAAGACCACTATTATAAGAAC